GAGTGGAGGCAGAGACATGGCAGCTCAGCTCAGATGCGTCGGATCTGTGGTTTGTGTTCCCCAAATAGGTCTGTCTCCGGCAGTCTCCCCGTAGGGACAGGGGGTGGGATCCGTGGCAGCTCTGAGGATCTTCAGATGGCCCTGGCTTTTTACCGTTTTTCTTCTGTTTCTCCTCACGCCCCCTGCCAGTGCATTGGTTCCAGCTGTAGTGCAATAGTGAGGCTCCCTGCTGCCCGGCCCTCTCCTCTCCAGGCCCGTCTGCGTGCAGCGGCCATCTTGTCTTTCTTGCCCAGAAATTTAAAATGGTTTCTCATCGTTTCCAGGATAAAATCCTTGGCCTTTAGCGTGTTGCCAAAGGCTGTCTGCAACTAGCCTTAGCTTTCCTGTAGTCTTTCCTGTCTGAGTTTCCCTGGGTGGACCATATATTCCAACAAAACCAGGTGACTGACCTTTTCTTGTTTTTCCCATCTCTGTTTTCACTAGTGATATTTTCCATGCCTCCTCTCGGAGCACCCACCTGCGGCAGTCCCACTGTCCTTCATGGACCATCTTTGATTACCTTCAGAAGAAGGGATCCTCATAACTACCCCTGCCCTCTTTGGACAAACTCCCATATGCGTCATCCCTCCTTTTTGCTACTTTAGTTGCATGATTGTTTTCTGTATATAAATCTTGTGTCACCTATTAGATTGTGAGCTCCAAGAGGCTAGGGAAAGAAAAAGGAAAGCACATACCTATTTGGTGCCTTCTGTCTGCCAGGTACCACGTCAAGCTCTTTCTCGGTGGTTATTTCATTTATTCCTTACCACAACCCTGTAAGGAGAGTCCTGTGGCTGGTAAGTGTTCTGATCATGGTTAGAACCCTAGTCTTTCAAAGCCTTGGCAGTTTTCCTCTTTCAACCCTCAGTGTCTACAAAATGCTTCCTAGGAGGTAGATCCCCAAAACGTGTCTATTTAAGGAATTTTGTAAGTCCGTAATGCTATGTGGGAGTCCGGGTGGCTGGTCCTCTTGCGCCCAAGGTCTTAGCAGTCTCATACCACCCTCATGGCTACCTCATTAACTTTCTCCTCTTCCTTTGTGGCCAGTTTCACTCATGATGCTGGCTTTTTTTTTTTGCTTTTTTGTAGCTAAAACTGATAGATTAACAAACTTCATTTATCCTGGTTGCCTTCCTCCTAGAAGAGGATGTGGAGGTGGGGTGGGTTGTAGTATCTTCAGAGCAGAACTAAGCTCCAGAGCCCCAAAGTCAGTGGAGACGATAGACGGCAAGGAACAGGGACACTGCACTTGGACAGACCTAGGGTTGCATCTTGACCCTGCCTTGTCTTCACGGAGTGGTTGTAGATAAGTCATTTGATCTTTCTGAGTTTTAGTGTCCTCAGTCAGTGAGATGGAGCTACTGTAACTTACACAGAAATGCCTAATGTATTGCCAAGCAAGTAGGTTCCCAACAGAAAGGGATGCAGCTCCCTTCCCCTGCCCACTTGTTTATTGGGGACTTAAGGAAGGCGTGTCATAAGTAGCTTGGTCCAAGAAGAAATGGGGGAGAAGGGAGCTTGCGTGCCTTCGGTGGTATCAGAAGCAGTGGGTGGCGGAGGGGGAGCGGAGGTCACCAGGCAGTACGCACCTGAAACCTGCCAGGTAGTGCCTTTCCCACCTGGAGTAAATACCCGTGCAGCTTCTGCATCAGGAAAACACCATGGGCATAGAGCTGGAGCCGTGAGAACTGGTGGTGGCAGAGTGAGGGTTAACCAGGGCACCCTCCTGGGAGCCTTTTCATGCCAGGTTAGTTTCCCTTCTCTCCTCCCAGCGGTGGCTTGCCTGATGCCTGACGCTATTGCACCCCGTGGGAGGGCAGTTGGGCACCCTGAAGCCCCTCATCGCCGATTCCGGGACCGCAGAGCGGAGAGTGACGACAGCTTATGAGTCGTCAGCCGACGGCAGTGGGGACCCTGGTGACGGCTGCTTTGTTGTTTTTTTCCTCTTTGGATGATGACTCAGTGTGTCGGAGCGGGGAGATGGAACGCTCAGCTGAGTGACCAGGACGTTCTGTCAACATGAAAGCAGCAAAAACAGCTTGTCGGGCTCAGAGCTGACCCTTAGGCTAGGGTCATTTTCAGGAAGGGACTGGCAGAAAAGCAGCCCACTGCTGGACATCGGGGCGGGAGCGACCCCAGGTAACAGAACGGTTCTGTGGACACTTGAGTCTTAGAATCTCAAAAGAAAATGCATCTGTTTGTGTTATTAGATGAGCTTGGCAGACAGGGCTGCTTCTTGAGCTCCTCTCACTGGTCCCAAATGAGAGCCATCTTACCGGGGCCAGAAAGCCCTTTGGGATTTCTCACTGTGGCTCACTGCCTCAGACAGAAGGCAAGTTGCTTCTTGGGGCGGGGGTGGGCCTAGCAGGCGCGCTCCAGGATGCCACAGGCAAGTGACCGTCATGGGGACATAAGTCTTGCATTTCCTCTGCTGGCGTCATGCGGAGATGTTGGTGGATCCACATTTCGGGCCTTGAGCTGAAGCCCCATTCTTGGGC